GTTATAAATATACACAAATAGATCAAGAGAATGGAATAGAGAATCCAGAAATAAGTCTAAACAATAACAAACAACTGCCTTTTGACAAAGGCACAAAGGCAATTTAGTGAAGAAAAAACAGTCTTTTCAACACTGCTAGAAAAACTGGATATCCATATGCAAATAAGGAAACTAGGATATATAATCTCACAATACATACAAAAATTAACTCAAAATGAATCATATCTAAATGCAAAACCTAAAACTATAAAACCTCTAGGATAAAAACATAGCAGAAAATCTTTGTGAACTTGAGTTGGACAAAGAATTCTTAGATACAGCACTAAAAACACACTCTGCAAAAGAACAGATTAATAAATTTGCTTTTCAAAATTAAAAACTGTTCTTCAAAAGTACTAATAAGAGAATGAAAAGATATTAATAAGTCACAGACTGGAAGAAATATTTTTTTAAAACTATATCTGATAAAGAACTTGCATCCAGAATACTTTATAAATAACACTTAATAAGAAAGAAACAGTTCTACAACAAATAAATAAATAAGTGAGGGCAAAGGATTTGGACACTTCACCAAAGAAGATATACTAATGGCAAATAATCCCATGGAAAGATGCTCAACATCATTAGTCACTAGAACAACACAAATTAAAACCACAATAGGATACTACTGAACATCTATTTGAATGACTGAAATTAAAAACACTGACTATATCGAGTGTTGGCAAGGATATGGAAGAACTGAAACTATTATACATTGCGAATGAGAATGTAAAATGAACAGCCCATTGTCAAGTTTGGCAGTTTCTTAAAAAGTTTATAGACATTTGCTTGTTTCCAGTTTTTGGCTGTTACAAATAAAGCAGCTCTGAAGACTCGTGTACAATTACCAAATGATTCAGTCATCCCATGGCGGGTAGTACCCAAGAGAAATGAAAGAATATGTCCACAGACAGACTTGTACCTAAGTTTTCAGAGCAGCTATATTTGTAGTTGTCAAAACCTGAAAGTAATCCACATGTGACAAGTACATGAAAGGATAAATTGTGTTATATTCACACATTAGAAAACAACTCAGCAATAGAAAGGAATGAACTAATGGTGCACAGGACGATAGGAATGAATCTCAAATGATTATTATGCTGAGTGAAAGGAGCCAAACATAAAAGAGAACACACTGTATGATTATACCGATACAAAGCTCTAGAAAGTGCAAAGTGATCTCAGTGACAGAGAGCAGATCAATGGTGCCTGGGAAAGAGGCAGACAGAGAGAAGTAGATGGGCGAAATTACAAAGGGGTATGAGGAAACACTAGTATGTGCTGAGTACATTCACTATCACGACTGAGGTGAGGGTTTCAAGGTTGCATAATATGTCAATACTCATCAAATTATACATTTAAAAATGTACATTTATTGCATGTTGATTTTACTTCAATAAAGCTGTCTAAAAAAAAACTAGAGTGTGAGAAGAACATTCAGAGAGAGGCATAAAACCTTCTTCCTATACAAGAGGATAGGGGGAAAACATCTGAGCTAACCCTAAATTACTGTACATATTGTGCAATTTCAAAGAGAGTCTGTGGTCATTGGTGGCTGGGCATTCCAAGTGTCCAAGAAGGTACTGTCTTCAGCCTCTCCCAAGAAATATTTATTTGGAAAAATGTTAATACAAAAAAATCACAATGCAATGTTCCACTAAGCTTTTTCTATACAAAGTAAATGACTTATACAGAAAAAAAATACAGTTTGTGTTGAAATAAGCTATTGCAATGGATCCCACACAAGGGACTGAAATACCATCTGTGGAGCACATAATCCTATTCATTTATTTGAAAATGGAAAGAGTTTTTAGCTTAATTCCATACTTACATGGGCATTATCTATTTTCACATGTCTCACACTGAGTCTCTTTAGGTTGAATCAGATTTAAGTAAAATAAGCAACATGATCCTAATAGACCAAAGTTTCAAAATGTTAACAAGCACTTGGAATAAACTCTAGTTTTCCTAAGCAAAATTCCTAACAATTTAGCCTACAACCGGTCTGATGATACAACTGCAAATTGACTCAATTTGAGAAGGATTTCAAAATTGTCAGCACAGGTTAGAGAAGAAACCAAAAGGAACGTAACGTCATTTGGGACAAATTTTAATTCCCTGCTGGTCCTGTCATGTCCATGTCTGCAGGAAAGCAAGATGACTCTATGTACAGGAAGTGCCACACCAGGCTCTTCTGTTTTTAGAATGGCATTTCTCTTGGTCCAACCACTCTCTACGTAGCCATGGAATTCTTTCACAAATATGTTTTCCCACAGCATGCTTTCCACCACATGGCATTTCCCCTGGTCTGGCTTATTTCATCTTACTGACACTTGTTTCCAGATGCTTTGCTTCTGGTTATCCAGTGCATCTGAATCACATGTTAATAAGAATACAGGCCAGCCCCAGGGAGAGTTAGCAGTGTGGTGAAGGTCACAGTTGGGGTTACCACTCTTCCCACTCAGTGTTCCTGCCCCTCCTCCCTCCTCTGTGGTGGTCCTTGGACAGCTCCTGCTGGACTCAGGCGTCCTCGTCCCTTCCCGCTCTTGCCCTGCCTACACCTGCTTCAGAGTAAATGGAGTCCGCACCCCCAGAGCCAGTGATGAGTAACAGCAGCTAAGACTTTTCTTGTCCGGAACCTCTGCACTTCAGGTTGGAAGCCTGAAGCCAAATGTCTACATTAAGCAGTAGAATTTCTTCAAAAGGAGGATGATTAAGGGTCTGAGAGAAAGCTGCAGCAGGGCTTTTGCTACTAGACTTCACCACAAAAACCAAGGAATACAAACGTAACTGCCTTCAAGGGCCACAGGACAGATGAGAGAAGTGTCACAAGTCAGGTAAGGCCTGGGAAACTTTATAGGAACACCTGGTCATGTGACGAGGCAACTTCCTTTGGTGCCCTGTCTACTGCCACATGGGAATGGCAAGCCAGTGTCACCAATAGCCTGAGTTTTCCACGGAAGATGAAAGTCCCAAGTTTTATGTTAAAATTTTTTGAAATATAAAACACTGTGAACCAAACAAAACAGGATTACACATCCAGCCTGCCAGTGTGCTGCCTCTGACACAGACTATCGGTGCACTGCATACACAACAGCAATGACGGTGCTAGAAGAACACAACACCATACAGGGCTTTTAAGTTCTTTGACAGGTTGCATGTTAAACTTCATTGTCCTTCTTCCTTAATTTTAGCTTTTGACCCTGTATCAACTGCCAAATCTATCATTCATATAGCTATTTTGAATTTCACATCAAGAGCAACTTCATATGCATACTTATTGATGACTTTACTTTTGGTGAACAACTGTTTTCCATGAAATGTCTCTGTTGATAACAGTTCAAAATTTGGAGAGGTCCAGCTGATGCCGTCTCCATCAATGAGGCCAGTAAAACAGGGACTTACTCTAAGACACAGCAAAGGTAAGTAAGCATCTGTTATATCCTCCCATGACTCAATTAAAACTTACCTTTTCTTGAATTGTTACAACAGATATAATTGTTCTAAGAAGAAATTAAATATCCAAAGAGTCTCAAATAAAGTATGAATATTTATAATTACTCAGTATACGTTTATAAAAAAGAAAAATGAATCCCTTAAAGCAGTGTTTTCCAAATAAGTAGATTCCGAGAATTATTAGTTCCATCATGTTCTTATGGGAAAAGGTGAGAGAGATGGGAGTAAGGAATACCATAGTCAAATGAGTTTGAGGCATGCCTTTACTACGGGCTAATGCAACTCTTCGAGAGGGGAATTCAGCATACAGCATTAACTAAACTAATGGAATAATGCAACGGTGAATTCGGCAGGGCGAGAATTCTGCAGACCACAGCTCACACTAGGTGCAGACAACTGCAGCTAACGCCCAGGATCCAAGTTTCTGGAAAGCTATTCTCCTCCCTAGATCAACTAGGTGGCATGTTTCCCTTTAAGTCCCTCAATTCCATGATAAGCATAATAAATTAACTTAGCTGTTTTTAAGCTTAAACCTCCATTAGTTTGGCTGCCATATCACTGAACTTGCCACAACCACCTCTGCCCTCCATTGTGCCCAGCTGGGCAGCGAGGCCCGCCCTGAGATGATGCCCCACTCTGAGACCTAATAAAGAAGTCTGCTTTTCTGTGTGGTAATTGTCTTGAAGCTCTAGCTGATTTCCTTCAAATCTTTTTTAGAATTAGTTGTCAAAGAAAAAATATAGGTCTGGAACATGGGATACTGCTACAACTGAAGGAAATAGGAGTGTCCGTGCAGCATTGATTCTATTAGTACATCAGTCTCTCTCTGTCTCTTCCCCCTCCCTTTAGCATCTCTGTGTGTGGCCCAGATGGATGCACCAGGTTTACCACTGGATTATCCGTAAAAGGGTTGGCAGTCAGCTATCCCAGACTACAAAAATTCAAGCACTGTCAGCACCCGGTCATGTCAATGTTTTGTGGTTGGTCACTTAGATCAAAATGTCTTTTTTCCATTATTTTAAAATTACTTTGCCTTAAAAAGATTGAACCATAGTACAATAAAAATTGCTGCTCAGTTATGGGCTTTTATTTATCCCTGCAAGAGGACTAAATAAATTGGCAGGCCAGTAAAAATTCTACCTGTCCTGCAAAAACTGCAATTTTAGCAACTCATTTTCTAGAGATAAGACAAGGATTTTTTCGTTGTTTCCTTTTGGCCTTGTCCCCACGGGACTCTCAAGTCAGCCTTGGTTAAGCAAAAAAACAGGCAACAGATATGATTTCCACCTGTTCAGATTTAGGCTGTCTTAAATTCAGAGTGGGTTTTTTAAAACTTAAATTTAAATTCATAGTTTCAATTTATAAAATCCTAAATAGGATTTATAAATTTATAAAATCCTAAAATCCCAATAGCAAGCATTGGCAACCGAAGTAAAGCAAAAAGGTTTCCTGCATTATTTATTAGATTTCCTATCTTCACTATCAGCAGACACTAATGATCAAACCTGGAAAACAGAAGTCTGGGTTCCAATAGATGTGTGGGAAAATTGGAATTTCTGCTGGTGCAGTATGTAGACAAAGGGCCTTTCCTGTATTTACTGGCAAGTTCCTCTGAACCAAGCTGGACTCCATAGCAACAGGTCCCTATGGAAACATGAAAAAATCCATTGCCAGTGGCGGGAAGGGCATCATGGGTAGGTATATTTGGGAACATATCATCTGATTGTTGCCAGTCAGGGTCTCTTTGGCTAGCCTAACAGGATTGTCTTACTTTTATCTCCACTCAAAAGGGTCTACTTAAAGGAGTCTATACACTAAAGCTTTTTGGAAATATTTGACAAGATCACAACTTTATCAGTAAAGAAGCCTGTGAGAATCAAACAAATCCAGCACAGTAGGCTCTGGCTGCCTTAAACGTCAAAAAGAGGAGCTCCTCTCCTTAAGCTTCCCCTTTGCCCCCCTAAATCCACCAGTGCAGCTGAGCTTTCCCTTAAACAGCACCCTGCCGACAGATGACCCTTCATATCCCACAACAAGCTGTCTTGCCCTCATTCCAGCTTCTTTAAGCCTGAAACATCTGGGCCCCACACTTCTCAGATGGAAAAGACCAAAATGACATAAAGCCCAGATAAAGAATCATGAATGTGTCCTGACATAATCGCCCAGTAGGGGAGAAGTACCTTCAGTGCAGATTTTCCCCAAATCCTTGCCTAGTTGGCCAATATGCCCAAGCCTGCCAACCCCTCTCCTAATCAGATCCCCCAGTGGCTGACACTGAGGCAAAATGAGGCTGTCGAGAGTCCTTGCCATGCCCTACACAAAACTGCTCACAATATGATCCTGAGCTAAGCTTCACAAATATTCCGGCTCACAAAGAAGAAACTAATTTTTCCTGGGGACAACAGCAGGAACAGTAAACATGACTTCCCAGTTAAATGGCAGAGAGGGACAGAATGAGAGCCCATGGCCTGGCATATGATTTAAGAGCTTCAGTTGATACCTCCATGATTCAAGAAGTCCAAAATCTCATCGGATGCCAGACAGCCTAATCCAGAAGTGGCAAATGAGGGCACTCACACCACCCACTGCCACTCCAATCCCATAGCAAAAGTCACTAGTGGGTCACTCTACTCTTTATCTCTTAGCCCAGACATGGCCTCAGAGTCCTTCTAAACGCAATGTTCAAAGCAGCCACTTTCAAGAGATGACACTCTCTTTCCCAAAAAGGAAGCTTTTTTGTTAATTCTAGTGTAATATAATGTAATATTCCAATACCAAAAAAAAAAAAAAAAAGAACTAGGGAAAAATGTATGGATTATATAGCAAATAGCCCAGTGTGGCCCCAAGGTGCTGCCTGTGTGGCATCGCTGTCTCCTGGAAGAAGAGCCCTGGGTTAGTGAGCTGCATATGTTTCTAAGCCCGTGCTCCAAAATTTAGCTTTTAAATCCACTGCTTTCTGCAGCATGCTATTTAAACAAGAGTAAAGTTCATCTACGGAACTGTTTTTTATATAAACACCAACCACAGCTCCAGCTCCTTATTTGCCTACAGCAAGTTCAGTTTTACATAAAGTTGGCCAAGTTAAAAATCAGCTGTGAATATTCATTCACTGCTCTGGTAATCAATTGTCACACTTCTCTCTGTTATGAACAGGAAATCATATACAGTTCAGTGTGTGGGAGTTAAGGCTTCTTATTTACGGTTCCAAAGTTCTCTTAACGAGTGCCAGAGACAGGCAGGGCACATCCATGGGAACTGCTCTTTCAGCATCAGAGCAAGCCTGCCAGGCAATAGAGTGGGCGACCCAATACCCAAACCTCTTCCCTGTCTTCCTTGCAAGACACACTGCCTGAATGTCTCCATTAGAACTATAACTTGCAGTTAGCATTTAACATCCTCCATCTAATAAAAATAGGGCAACAGATTTAAGTCTATCCCCCCCCAAAACAATCATCAGAACGGTTCTTTCCTTTGCCCCAGCAGCCAGCAGGAGAAGACAAGCCACCTGGCACAAAGAGAATAGGAGCTGGACTAGAGTAGGGCCCCCTGGCTGTGCCCTCTGTCCACTCATGATTCTGCTGCAAGCGGCCCTGCTGGCCATGATGCGCTTTCTCTGCCACCAGCCAAGGTGAAGCCACGAACATCCGAGTGAGCATATATGGCTGGCCTTGCCCCTGGATTCACCAATCCTTCCCACGGGAGGGAAGTTGCCAATTTCCCACTCTGCTGTTCTCTTCTGCTGCTTTTCCTGTGAGCTTTCCCACATCCTATGTAACCAAGTCTATAAGCAATCCCCAGTGTGCTAAGAGGTCAGGTTACAAATATGTGTTTCCACATCAGGTGTGTATACCTCCAACCACATTTTCCTGGAGTTGTAATGTTGTAAATAATGGTTAGGTCCCTAGGACAGCCTCAATAGTTCATCTTCTCCCAAATGTTCCTGAAGGAACTACAGTGCTGTGGGGACCATGAGTCTTACCTCCTTGCCATGGGTCAATGCACTCACCTTTCAGTTTGGGCTGCCAAGAGCTCCCTCACTGCCATGGGATCAGAGATCATTCCTGTCTCTACTATGCTCATGGTGGGGGGCAGCGGGGGAAGACAAGAGGCTGCCCTGGCTCCAAATTATCCCTAGAGCTGCAACAGTCAAGGTCTTTGGAAAGGAGGCCCTGTAAAATTTGGGGGTAAGGAGAAAATGGGCAACTGGATGTTGATGAGGGTAGCAAAGGTTTGGAAGGGCCTGGGACTCCTGCTGGTGTGACCCTGGGGCATTTGTAGGTCAAGTCTTCTTCCCCAACTATCTTCTGTACCAGCCACCCCCCCTTCAACCTGTTTCTCTTTCCTTTTCCAGTGTCACCTGTTGTTTCTAATCAGTGTCTCTGTGGCTCTGCGAAGAGCAAACCAGTCTTATTTTATCTCCCACCCTGTTCCTTGGCCTTAAAGCCAAAATACAAATGGCTAATAAACATAAATTTTTAAAGAGAACAGCATCACTAGTAATTAAGGAAATGCAAAATAAAGCCAGGTACCATTTTTTCACCTAACAGTTTGAAAGCAATAGTAACACCTAGTGCTGGTGAGGATGAGCACCCTCATACATTATTGCTGGACATGCAAGTTGCTACAACCCGTCTGGACAGCAATTTGGCAATTTGTTCAAATGCAACTTGGTGAGACCATGTGACTAAGTTCTGGCCAATGAAATATAAAAGGAAATGGAATGTGATCAGTTCCGGAAACCTTTCTTAGGAAACAGCTGGCATTGCCATTTGCCTTTTTCTCCCACCTATTCCATATGTTGACTGATGTGTGGACGTCAATAATGGCATACAAAAATGAAGACCATACCCTAGAGATGGTGGGGCAGAAAGGCAGAAATTGCCTGGGTTCTCACTGACTTCCCCACTTCTAGAAACCTCATAGCCAAATCTCCTCCTAAATGATATAACATGCATATCTTTTGTCCCAGAAATGTCACTTAAAATAATTTATTGTATGAATCACTTCCATGAGCAAAAAGATAGACAAAATGAGACTCACTACAGCCACTAAACTAGCACTAGGATACAACTAGTCTAAGATTACGGCATATAAATACAGTAAAATTTAGCTATAAAAATGATTGTAGATATATTTATTTATAAGGAAATACATCCCCAATATAATACAAATGAACAAGACAGTTTACAGAAAAAGTATTTATGGCATAAACCTATACATTTATTTTGGATTTTACAGAAAAAGTATTTATGGCATAACCCTATGCATTTATTTTGGATTTTACAGAAAAAGTATTTATGGCATAACCCTATACATTTATTTTGGATTTTACAGAAAAAGTATTTATGACATAAACCTATACATTTATTCTAGATTTAAATAAATGGAAAAATACTTGGAAAGATATACAACAAAATGATGGGACTATGAGTAATTTTTTCTCTTTTTGTCATCTGCTTTCCAAGTTTTTAAATAGGCAAGAAAAATGGCTTCACTATGAAAAATAATTTTAAGTAATTTTTTAAAATATAAAACAAATTTACATTTCTTTTGAAGTGTCCCAGGTGTTTTACTTCTAACAAACGAAGTAGCACAGTTGGGGTGGGGGGGAGAGGGTCTTTCCCTTCCTTCCATCATCTATATTTCACTTCTATTTTGTAGTATAAACTGAGCCCTGAAGAACATCAACAGCAATTTACTCATTCTGCTGCCTCTGATGTGCCTGGTGCTTAGTAAAGAAGGAGAGAAGGAAGAGAAAGATATAGAAGAGAGAAAGAAGAAGGAGGAGATGCAGAGATGAAAGATGAAAGGAGACAAGAAAGAGGAAGGAAGGAAGGAAGGAAAAAAGGAGAAAGAGGAAGCAAGGCAGGCAAAACAATAGAAAATAGACACTAACAGACAAGTTTGGAACACCTACATTTAGTCCAATATGTGTTATGTATCCCTTCATCTTAGGAATAAGATCAACATTCTGACTTATAGAACTATTTGGAATCTTGGGCAGGCTAGGAGGTAGGGACAATGAAAAAGATGGGAAGCATACAAGGACTGCCGATATTGTGGAGGAAATTAAAACTCTGGAGAAAGAGCCACACAGCTGCCACTCTTGTAACTTCAGGCTACATGTGGGACAATCCCAAAGGCAAAGTGAAAAAAGGTGAAAAAGATGACCCTAGAGGTTGTGATACCACTTCCGAACATAGCCATGAGATCTGCAAAATGCAAAATGCAAAGGATTGGATATCATTTTAACATTTACAAGAGATGTCTGGTCATAAAAGAAAAGAAATACATGCAAAGAATATATAATTGTGTTAATCATCATGCTAGTTAGGCCAAAAATAATACATCAGCATATGTTAATGACCAAAGATATGCAAAATTCAAATGAAGGGGATAGCCAACTGGGTTGAGGGTTAAAATCTAACTTGAAACTAGTACCAGGAAGTGATATGTCCTAAGTCAGAGGAGTACAGGATACGCCATCTAGAACAGATAATGGGCTCAGTATGATCCCTCAATGCAGCAATTAAGAATGATGTTTTCTGGTATTTAAAAACTTCAGAAAGAAATACTATGCAGCTTTAAAAAAGAAAATTCATATGATCCTTTAAATAGACACAGAAAAAGCATTTGACAAAATTCGCCACCCTTTTATGATAAGAACACTTAACAAAAGAGACATAGACAGGGCTTACCTCAAAATAATAAAAGTCAAATATGACAAACCCACAGCCAACATCATACTGAACAGGGAAAAATTGAAAGCATTCCTGCTTAAAACTGGAACCAGACAAGGTACCATAGAGTTCCACTCAGCCACAAAAAGCAATGGTGATCTAGCACCTCTTGTATTATCCTGGATAGAGTTGGAGCTCATTCTACTAAGTAAAATATCATAAGAATGGAAAAATAAGCACCACATGTACTCACCATCAAATTGGTATTAACTGATCAGCACTTATGTGCACATATAGTAGTAACATTCATCAGGTGTCGGGCAGGTGGGAGGGGAGGAGGGGATAGATATATACACACCTAATCAGTGCAGTGTGCACCATTTGGGGGATAGACACACTTGAAGCTCTGACTCAGGTGGGGCAAAGGCAATATATATAACCTAAACATTTGTACCCCTGTAATATGCTGGAATAAAACAATGAAAATAAATAAACCTTAACCCCCCCCCAAAATAAAATAAAAACTTCCGAAAAAATATTATGCAGCCTTAAAAAGGAAATTCTGTCACATGCTACAAAATTAATATACCTCCAGGACACTATACTTAGTAAAATAAGCCAGTCACAAAGGGACAAATAATGTATGATTCTATTCATATGAAATATTTAAAGTAGTCAAAATCGTAGAAACAGAAAGTAGAAAGGTGGCTGCCAAAGGCTGACAGAGAAGGGCAGTCAGTGTTCGATGGATATAGAATTTCAGTTTTGCAAGATGAAAAAGATCTAGAGATCTATTGCATAATAATGTGACTATACTTAACACTACAGAACTGTACACTTAAAATGGTTAATATGATATATTTAATGTTATATGTTTTTACCACAATAAAAATAAGTATCGAGAAAAAAAGTTAATGAATTGAAAAGAGATCATCAAAATTATATTAAAAAGTAAACTAAAAAAGATGAGATGAAATAATTATTTGCTTAGAGGGTAACTATCTTTCAACCTTGTGAAGATTTTGAATTAATTACAGAAATGTGTAGGAGAATCAAAATCTATAGTGTTAACTTTTTGGTTTT